CCTAGACCTGCAGCTGAAGGAGCCCTGTGCCTGGCATGGGACAGAGCAGAAACGATCAGGCTGCATTCTCTTAGGGAACCTGGGCTCCCCAGCAAGGTGAGGAGCCGGAAGGACAGAGGCAGAGGCCAAAACCACACATTAACTTCAGCAGCTTGGTGTCCATTTGATAAAGAAGGGACATTGGCAACATGATAGGGTGATAACAATGCCCAGGGAAGTCCTCCGAGCCATGAAGTTTCTGATTCATTTTTAAAGAAAAATAGGCCCCACATCCTGCAGCTTCTCACTCTGTGTTCTTCTGCCTTTTCCCGCCTCTCACGGCTTGCAAACTCAAAGCTGCTGCCCTCAGCCTTGCCAGACTTCCCAGGGCTCTTTCTATCTTTCAAGAAAAGCAGAGGAAGGGACTGGGGAGATGGTTCAGTAGAATAAGCACAAGGGCCTGAGTTCAATCCCCAGTTCCACAAAGGAAAGAAGGAAGGAAGGAAGGAAGGAAGGAAGGAAGGAAGGAAGGAAGGAAGGAAGGAAGAAAGAAAGAGACAGAGGAAAGGTGCTGTGCCCTCTATGGAGCCAGGGTAGCTGTATTGTTGCCCCCGCTTATGGCTAGATGAACATCTGCGGTGACTGACTGGCCCTGCAGTGACTGACTGGCCAGCTGGATGACAAACTTCATCAGAAGGTGCAACAGAAAATGTTAGAGCACCAAGTGTCCTATACAGGGTCCCTCTAGGGTCTTCCGCTGAACTCAGGGAGCACCATGGCCCTTCCCAGGCCCCAGGCTAACAGAAAGTGTTTCAGAGGTGACCAAGTGCAGCTCACGAGGCCCCTCCACACCTTGACATCTGACATCCATCCCACCCTGGCTCTATATAAGTGACTACCAGTAAAGGTGCTTCCCCAACCCTGGGGTGGGTGAGTCTACCTCTTGACTCTGCATCCTGGCATTCCACCTGGGAAGGCCAGAGCCCTCAGGCCATAAAGGGAAGAAAAACCAAGGAAGCAGAAACTGTGTCACCTGGTCACCATCACACGCAGACCACAAGATGGCAATCAGGCCTGCATGAGCCTCTGAGTGGTTGCCCTACTCCCTTATGAGCAGAAGGTGAACTAAGTTAAGAGCCGCTCCAGCTCCACACACTTGATCCTGGGTGCTGTGGCCCCTCTGTTAAGGATCTCCCAACAAAGGATGAGTCTGCTAGGATGAAACCATCTGCTGACAGGTGCAGTCACTGTGAGCTTTGGGAGGGTGAGACTAGACATGTCTCGTCACATGTTACTCTGTGCTTGCGAAATTCGACATAATATAGATGATACATACCGCCTCCTGATGGCTCTCCCTAACCCACACCAGTGTTTTCATCCCATGGATAAAATAGGGCTTCAGGACTGCACATCAAGGTTGAGGAAAAGCAGGACTCACAGCCCATGAACAGTGAGGCCCAGCACAGTGTAACTTCCCCAACCCACGGGTCACTCTCTGATATCAGAGTGTGTGACAAGAGCAGTAACCACATAGCTGTTATCTTCCCATGGCTGCACCATGAGGAGCACAGTGATGTGGAGACAAGAGGGTCCACGAGGCAGCCTCACCTCAGTATCCACCATTTGCAACCCCAAGGTCACACAACAGACAGACTCCAGCCCTACTCCCTCTCAGGTGAGGGGAGATGGAAGCTCCTTGCAGGCCCCCTACTTTCTTGGGCTGGCACCTCCAGGACAAGCCTGTCTCTGCCCTGGTTTGAACCTGCTGCCTATGAGCTGAAGGCTCCAAAACGTGTGCGCAAGACCTACTCCTTGGCACGCCACCCAGATTACATTCATCACTGATGCCACCTTGGCTGCCAATGGATATCTCAACATAACGTGAACACCATCAGCACCCCCCACTCCACCTGTGTCCCCAGTCATACCTGATGCCTCGCCCCAGCACCTACATAGTCACCATGCTGAAACAATGCTGCTTCCTGTGTATCTTTCAGTCTGTCTTTCCCTTCCACTCCTCTTGCAACCTTTCCTCAGGGCTCCCGAAGCACCCAGGCTGTACCTCAGCCCTGCCCAGGGACAGCTGGGTCAGACTGGGCACAGAGAGGAGCTCACTGCTACCGTGAACCCCAGAACAGCCTGTGCATAGGAAGGAGGAAGAACAAGGCATCGTTTCAGGAATTCAAAGGCCATGCCATGCAGGGGGAAGGCAGGGACAATAGAGTATCGGAGACCACATGTTACAAATGTGTCTAAGGCTATCCAAGCTTGCCCTTGTCCTTCCTGCCCTTGGAGCCAGATTAGAACAAGGAAATTCCCCACTTGTTTTTTGTCACAGTTAAAGCCCTACGACTGGTGATGCTGGTGCTCATAGGGCAAGATTAGGCCAGCTAAGGACAACAAGGATCTTTAAAACAATGTACTAGTAGTAGTAAAATGTTTCACCAAGAGAAACTAAGTTACCCTGTTGGCCCCTGTCTCATCCTTGCAAGAATGCTTGGCGCTTCTTACTCGCCCAAGGCAATCGTCGCTGTCGCTGCCAGAATCACTCACTACCCTTCTCACACACTGGCTCACACAATAGTGGTGAGCTGGAGTCTTGGTCTTTTGCCCATCCTGAGGCACTGCCCACTTAGCCCCTTTATGCATTACTAAATGTCTCATCCTTTCGCCATATATCTTGTTATGGTTTGTGTCTAGCTATCCACCCAAAGCCTCATGCAGTTATAGGGTGGACTTCTAGAGTGCAATTAATTCATGATCCAATGCTGGGATTATGGAAGTGAGTGCTGCTGGGAATATGGGTATGAGTGCTGTCCCCAGCCTGGGGTGGATAGCCTGAAAGCAACATAAGGGAGACAGACTTGCTCTCTGTAGCCTTTGCTGCCATGGCTGCTGCTTCTCCCTTTGCTCTTTGCTGTTCTCTGCCAGCATGAAAAGTTTCCCTCTGCCATGTGCCACTCTGCCTTGGAGCCAGCTGAGTACAGACTGAAACCTCCAGTAGCTCTGAGCTAAATAAACCTTTCCTCCCTTAATTCTGGGTGTCAGGTATTTGTTCCAGCAATGAGAGAAAAGTAATTAAAACATCCCTCATTCAGGCAGTTGGGGATCCTGGACAGGTCCCCCATAGGAGAGCACGAGGAAGGACGTGAGCCAAGCAGGCTGCAGAGGGCCTGGCCCGCAGGGCGCCGCAGCAACAACCCGATGGGGGCACTGTGGCGGCAGGTAGCTCCGGTGCGGCACACATCTCACCCTGCAGCGACTGTGGCCGACGCAGCAATAGAGCAGGGAGCACAGACAGACACTCACTGAGTCAACACCGCAGCCTTTGTATGCGCGCCCTGCAATCTCAAGACCTACACCATCCTGCCCACCTGCGACTTGTCTATCCCGGATGAATGGATACCAGGGCCCAGGCAGTGACATGTGTTTCTGTGGACAGCAAGCAAGTCCCCTCCCCAGACTCCCACCTTCAGCCTGAGCACTGAGGCTATGGCTCCCGCTCAGAAGAGACGTCGCCCTCCGCCCCGCTGCTGGCGCTGCGGTCTTCCTTCCGGGGAGCAGTGCGCTCTTTGTTGGATTCCGAGGGTCCCTTGGCTCTGGTCTTCTCTTTCCTCTGCTGCTGCTTCTCTAGCTTTGACAGCTGATTTTAAAACAGAAAAAGAAAAGCATTTATGAGCATGAACACACACCCAGACATCCAGCACTGACTCGGCCTTGCTGGATCCTGGCACACTATGGAGTTCAGCCACGCCACGGAGGACACTGACCGGACAGGCACCTGAGCCACGAGCACAGATGGCCACACACATTCCCCTCCGACTGGACCAGGCTCAACAGAACTTGTCACTGCCTGCTGCCCCAGCCTGGTCCACTGGGCAGAGGGGATGTGGCGATCTCCAGGCCCAGAAGAGCTATTTGCAGCAAAACTTAGAGCCCGTTGTTTTCTTGGATGGCTCAACAGCTTTTTCTTACCAAGTTGCCTTTCTATTTATTGCCTTCTCATGATTGTACTATTAATTTCTATCAGTTTTTTTTTAAGTTAGTGTTTAAATGTTTCACATTAACTAAGTCTATATGCTACTATTTGTAATCTGAGCAACTACATGAAGGACAGCAATGTGCAATACAAAAACCGTGGTTGAATACCCCTCATCTTGTTCTTCTAAATGTGTTTTGTTTCTAATGTCTTATCAATTATTATTATTCTCTCATTAAATACATTAAAAAATAAAAAAGAAAAAAGGACAAGAAAAACTAAGGTTTATTGAAAGGAAGAGTTCATGTTTAATTATTTGACCAATCTTACATTCCTGTATCTGGTAAGCTGAACAACAAATTTTATGAATACAACATGTAATTAACAACCCTTGTTAATATTCTATTCTTGTTTGAAATCCTGTACCATTTGTATTATTGTATGTTGTTTTGTTTCCCCCTTGGTTTTTGTTATTTGTTATTTATTTTGTTTTTATTCTTTAAAATAAAAAATTGTTCAAAATACTCTACTATTCGCTGAAGATAACAGAGAAGGCCACGAAATGGGGCACGATTAAGCACACTGAACACAGGCTCAGTTACTTGTTTGTTTTTGGAAGCAAAAGCCTGACGCACCCAGGTACCTGCTCCTGGCGGGAACATGGCATCTCCACACAGGACCACAGCCACAGGAACCTGCTCAGATTCCTGCCAGTCAGCCAGCGACATGCATGTGGAGCCAGGACCCACTTCCTCCTGGGAGATGTTCCCAGCAAATACAAAGCACCACAGACTCAACGGGGGACAGAAACTTGAGTCACCCCACACGCTGAGCAGCAGGGTAGCCACTCCAGAAAGGCCCCAGAGAAGCCCACCTGGAAAACAGCCAAGCTTGGGTCCGTGGGGTTCCCAGGACCAAAGCAGGCCCAGGACACAGCAACAGTTCCATCTGCCTCCCAGACCAAGTCACAAAGGCTTTCTCAATCATACAAAAGAAGGGAATTTAATAAAGGGCCGGCCTCTCCCCAGCGCCCCTACCCCATGCGCTGGGGAGGCATAAAAGAGGCATAAAAGAGTCACTTTATATAAGCCCCAGATCTTGCTTCTGTGAAGGAGCTAAGGCTCAGCCTGCTGGCCTGATGAGCAAGCACCTGGCAGCAGAAAGTGAGCGTCCCCTAGTGAGCAGCAAGCTGAGTGCTGCGGCTGGGACCACACACCCCAGACTGCCCCAGCCTGCCCCAGCCTGCCCCAGCCTGCCCCAGCCTGGAAACAAGCAGTGCCTGCAGCAGCCCTTCAGGTAGGAAGGGTCTGGGACAGAGACGGCAAAAAGCTAGCATTTTGCACGTGTGGGAAGTAGATGCTCAGAGCTCCTTGCTGCTTTTCTCTGGAGCATTATTTTCTATGGATGAATATCTCTCTGTTCAGGGCTGCAGAGTGTCAGGGAGGCCTTTCCTTCTACTTCTCTTGGCGATTCGGTTAGTGAGACAGGGTCTCGCTGTGTAGTCCAGGCGGGCCTCATACTCACTCGTAGCCCAGGATGGCCTCAAACGCCCAGTAATTTTCCTGCCTCAGCCTCTCAAGTGCTAGGATTACAAGCATGCACTCCCATGCCCAACTCTTCCTGTGGCATTGAGTCCTCTTTCTCTTGGGAAATGGAGAAGATGGGTGGGGTCCCTTGTTCTGTTTTCTTACAGAATATCTTCAGACTGTATATTGTGAAAATACTTAACATTATAGAGCCTATACACTAAAAAAATGCCTTAGAAAGTAAATTTTATGTATTTTACTAAAATTGTTAGAAAATGTTTAAATGATTTTGGAAAACAAGTTGGCAATCCATTCTGGACCACATGCTTTCTTTTTATGTGAAATCTGAAACTCCAGGAGTCAGCATTCTGCAGTGAACTGTGACAAGCAGTTTATGACAGAATCGGCGTGTGTTTTTACCCATGAACATTACACATGTGTAGATGCAAACACACATATGTAAATAATCATGAACATGTTCCAAATTGGGTGCTGAGAAATGCCCTCTTTGCTTCCCATCAGAGGCAAAGCATAGGAAATGACCATCACCGGTGACAACAGCAGGTGGGGGTCACCCTCCTCTGGAGCTTGGACACCAGAAGACACAGCTTTCCCAGGGTTTTTTAGCTCCATGCAGCACTGGTATAACCTAGCACAGTACGACCCAGCACTGACAAGTCACCACTGCACACAAACATAGCTCTGAACTGTCCCCTGTCCTCCCCAATGCCAGCTTTCAAATCCTAACTCTTTAAGCAACTGGCATGCCCCACTTCTGCCAACACTGCAAAGCTGATCCTCTCCTGCATTACTTATCTTCAAACAACCTCACCCTGGGGCTCCAGGCCACCATGTAAGGCTCTCTGTGAGGACACTACAAACCAAACCAGTAAACGGAGGCCTCGCTCAGAAAACAGGGAATCCAATGCAGCCAGAAGAAAGGATTTACATCTTGAGGCAAGGAAGAATGAATTTTTTTTTCTTTGAGAAAACGAATGAGTGCCTGCCAGACAGCTCAGTGGACTAAAGTGCCTGCTTAGGCAGAGTGCAAGGACCATGGTTCAATCCGTGGCACAACAAGGCATGCTGGCTCCACTCCCAGGGCACACTGAGATAGCAATTGAGACTGGGCGTGGTGGCGTGTGCTTGTGATCTCAGAGCTTGGGAGGCTGGAAATAGGAGGATCACTAAGAGTCTGATCTATATAGTGAGACCCTGTAGACCCTGTACTAAATACATAAAATTAAAAAAGAAAAAAACAAATGAAAATAGGAGAGGGAGGGAGGGAAGGAGGGAGGGAGAGACAGAGAAGGAGGAGGAGGAGGAGGGGAGGAGGAGGTGGAGATGGAAGAGGAGGAGGAGAAGAAGGAGAGAAGGGAGGGAGAGAGGGGGAAAGGAAGGAAGTGCCACGGTGTCTGAACTCAAGCAAAATGTCCACAGCTTCCAAATTAATAGGACATGCACATTAAAGAGAATAAAGAGCAGGAAGCTCTATATCTGTGAATGTGTCATCTATGAACACAGTAACGAGGGACGTCCCAGGTCTGCTGGCCTGGGACGCTTTCACTCTATTGTTGAGTCCACGATGCACAAGGGATGCCCATAGGCTATGCTGACTCTAGTGGCCAGGGGACCAACCTCCAGCCAGCCTGCACCCCTCCTGCTGGAGCCAGGGAAGGCAGTGGCAGATCCCAGGAGGACAGGCAGACCCACAATGAACCCCCAATTCACCGTTAAACCCAACAAGAAAACAAAGGACTCTTTCTAATGAAGATGCCCAGGCTCTAACTGCTAGTAAAAGAATCAGCTAGTGGAGTAAGTGTGTCACAGTGCTCCACTGTGGGACTGCAGAGGAACCAAGCAGGCAGCAAAATGAGCCCAAGGTCTATGTCAGGCAACAGGGCATGGTTGAGACTGAGGCATGCTGGAGAGGTCAAACCCACCTCAGGACACCCACATTCACTTTCAGACCTGTGTCTGGGAAGATACGATGTTAATGGGTGCATGAGTGACCTGCTCAGTGACTCTTGGCATTTCCACCATGAGATCTGGATGGCTCTTACAATACCACTAAAGGGCTGATCTGACAGCTCAGCAGACTAAAGCGCCTGCTTAGGCAGAGTGCAGCAGCCAGGGTTCAAGTCCTAGAGTGCTGTGCTGGCCCCACCCACAGGCCATGCTGAGATAGCAATTGGGACTGGGCATGGTGGCACACACCTGTAATCCCAGCACTTGGGAGGCTGAAAACAGGAAGATCACTACAAGCCCGATCTACATAGTGAGACCCTGTAGATCCTGTCCTAAATACAGGGGGAAAAAATACCACTAAAAGCAGGGTTATCCACATAGCACACAAGGAAGCTGCTGTCAGCTTCCTGTATCACAGCCCAGTCACATTCCAGCCCCTTCTTCCCTCCTGCTTCAGCCTGTCATGTGGTCTTCCTGTCATGTGGCATAGCCAGCAGGACATGAGGGGGCTGCAGATGGCTTCAGAGAAAGGCTTTCCTCCCTGACATACACAGAGCAAGAACACATTGGCCCCTTCCTGTCCTGGGAAAGGACAAGGACAGGAGCTTCAGAATGATGAGAAGGGGCCTCTCAGGTGCCCGAGATGCTTCTGGTGCCCTGCAGGGCCAAGGGGAATCAGCCTCCTGCTGGGGGAGGTGACTGCATCCCTTAGAGATCAATGACATGGCACTTGCAGCTGAAAGCCTACTGCACTGAAAGAGAACGTGACACATGGCAAGGCAGGGTGGCTTGCTTAGGGCTCTGCACCACCTGAGTGGCTGGGGTCACCAAGGGCCCTGGACACTGAACCCACATTCTTTCCAGAGAGCCACATGACCTCCCTCCCTTCATCCATTAACTGCATTTTACAGGCATTCCCTGAGCACCAGCTCCATCGCAGCTGCACCAAGGACACAGTGCATAGTCTAGCAGAGTCCCTGCCTTCTGGGCTGACAGTGGACTGGAAAAGTGACTGGGAACTGGCTCACCACAAGCCAGCCTGTCCTGAGCACCACAACAGTCTTAGGGATACTGTCACAATCGCCATCTTAACACAGAGGAGCCCTCCCCTTTGTCCCAGGACACATGCCTCACAGCCAGGTACATGGTGGTAGAGTGCACAAGGTGGTGCAGCACATGTGAGGGAAAAATGACAGGCAGAAATGGCAGGACACAAAATGGCCAGGCCCATCCAGGGAGAGGCCAAGGAACCACAGGCACAGGCCAGGGGGCAGCCGGAAGGAGGGATGTGAAGGTGCATGAGTTATGCCAGGGCTCCACAGGCAGAGGCTGAAGCACCCCATGGCAGCACTTGCTACTGGGCCTGTCACAAGGGCCTGGGTCCAAGCTCCTTTTTCCTCAGGCACCTATAGTGCATGCTAACACACTGCGGCACCTACAGAGCACAGGATGGCTAAGTGAATGAGCCAATAGGCTGATGCTATTTCGAAAAGCAGGCAGGGCCATCAGCTCAGAGGAATGGGGTAGGGGTCCTCAGGACACACAGAGCATGGGGTACGTGTGCCATCTCTGCCAGATGAAGGACCTGCCTTTGGAGCAGGAAGATCTCTTGAGGGGGGCAGCAGTACACCAGAAAGAGAAATGGAGATTCCAGGGCAGGACTCTGATGTCCCCAGCTCTGCCTGATTTCCTATAAATGCTGTGTAGACAGAATGGGGAAGAGACACCTAGAGATGTGTGAAGCCTGGATAAGCCGGGAATCACTGTCATCTGGCCCATCCTCCACACACACACAGCATCACCCCTAGCAAATGAAAGACTGACCCCTTCACACCAGGGATGATCCAGCGTAACAGTGACAGAAAGCGTGAGATAAATGAGTCACTCAGGGCCTCCTCAGTCTCTGAGGAGCCCAGGGAGAAGGATGGTGAGTGAATGGGGGCCTCAGCCGTACAAGCGCAACTGGCCTCTGGGCTTGCAAAGCCTGGAGAAGATCAGACAAGCTCTGAGCACGGGGTCCACTGTCCCATCACTCACCTACCTCTCTGGGTCTCCCCACCCTACCGCATCATCAGACACAGACTGAGCTTGAAGGGACCCACAGAATGAAATCATTCATGCCTGGCTTCAGATGAAGCAGCTGAGGCCCGCCCTGACGGTGAGATGACAGTGCCGTCCTAACACTTGCTTCCAGCTGACTCAGGAGAAGGATGGTAAAAGATTACAGCTGTGCATGACCACCTGCAGGACGTTATTGTGGTAAGTCCCATAAAACCCAACTAGATCTTATCTTTCTTCTAATTTGAGCCTCCAGATTAGAAAAAGAGTGCCGCTGCCCTCAAGCAGCCCATGTGCATCACTTAAAGTTTTAATTTCAGTTCTCTTAAGTCCATCTTCATACTTAGGAAATAAATGAGCCTTGGATTCTGACAGCTAACTCTTTTCCTTAAGGATTCTGGGAAATTCAGAACAGACAGATCGATATTCCCAGACTGCTTCTGAGCCAGATGAAGTCAGTGCAGAGAGCCCCCCACACACACACCTACCTGACCAGGGCCGCATCCAGGCCACAGTCGGCCTGGGCCCAGATCTAGGGTCTGGGACTCCTGGCCATACCTCCTGGCAGCCTGGCTCTGTTGGGAGCAAACACTCACCTGCATGGGAGCTTCTGCGGACAGCCCAGGCCCCATGCTTGCTCCTAGAGGTACCTGACTGAGTTGCTTTAATGCTACCCACTTCCTTCCAGGCTTTTCTGTCCTGCATCTGAGCAAACTCTCAAACAAAGCAAATAACAAAAGAAAAACTCAAGCCCCATGAAGCCAGTGACTGTGATTTTTATAGACTGTAGTACAGACGGGAAAGCTCTGCTCCAACCAAGCCCTTGCAGAGGTTACAAGCAAGTCACCTGGCACAAGTCATAAAGATCAAATGCCTCCTCTGCACTTTCTTCTTAAAATACCACAAGGCATGGTCACTTGAAGAGCACAGCCCACATAGGGGGCATTGTCAGGAGGGGCCACTGGGCCATCATGAGGTGCTGTGAAGTGGGACAAGCCCCAACAGGTCCCTGCAGAAGGACACAGGCTCAGGCAAAAGGGAAACTCCTAATCCAGGAGCCACGTCCCAGTCCTTGGCTCTGGAACTTTCCCCAGCACTGTCTACCACAAGCAGCAAATGCTTCGTCAAGCTGCTGCGCTACCTATGTGCTCATTCTCTCACCCCGGAACACACACAAGCACCATTAGCTATGTTTTCCTCAATAATTAACAATTTCAAGACAATATATAAGTAAACACGCTATAGAATACATTAAGTCACTAAGGAACCTCCTTGGGTGCAGGCTAAATTACTAAACTTCACCATGCCCCTCTGTTGGACCACAGAAGCTTCTGGAAGGCCACCTTCCTTTAGTACCAAAGGGGCCAGCAGGGTGGGAGGAGCCCATGGCTCTCTGTCAGGGGAACAGACATCTCCAGTAACAGATCATCCGAATGACAGCAGCCCTCACTAACCCTGGGAGAGGACATGTTCCCAGCCAACCTAATGATCATGTGTTCAGCATGGGGACATCGCTTGAGCCACTAGAAGCCACATCCCAAGGTCCATGACCTTTTGTCTTACCCATTTCCTGCTGCTGCTTCCAGGCCAGAGGAGAGGCTAGGATGTGGAAAGTGGGAGGCAAGCCCCAATCAGCAAAAGACTGGTGGAACTCAGAGGAGCAGGAATTCTGGGTCTACAGTTGCACGGAGCCAATCAGCAAAAGCTTCCTCTCACAGGCTTTCTCCAGGTGCCAGCCACGTTCAAAAAGCAACTGAATTTATATTTGGATGATCTGTCTCACCAAACTGCAGCTTGATACAATTTTGAATCATGGGATCGCATTGAAAGTGTTTGTGAAAACGTCCTAATGTAATGGAAAACCTGACGGTGTTCAGAGGATGTTTCCCCACACACCGCAGACTGCCATCATGTCAATTGTCACCTTGTGTTATTTTTAAATCGACTGCTGCTTAATAAAAACATTACAAAGCAAAGTGCACACATGGTACCTAATTTTCATACCTTATTAACTCTGCTTGAGGTTTTTGTGGCAATTTAAAAAAAAAAAATTAAGCAAAAAGGCATCTGTCCCCATCTGAAACCATGCATGCTAAGTTTTTTCCACTTCTCCATTGTTTATAAAAACCCTGCCAGGCATGCAAACTCAAGAAGTGGGCGAGCTTGGACCCTTCCTGTTGCTCTGACCAAGCCAGGCCTCTCCTGGTTCACTCCTCCATGCACAGGCACACCCTAGACCAGCTCCAACGGCAGGCCCAGTGGGACATGTAAGATGTGCAAAGTTAGCCCAGGAGTTGTCTCTACTGGCACAGCGGCCCTTGAGTCCTCTGACCTACCTGTCACAAATACCACCAGAGCCTGTGTCCCCTGGCCTGGCCCAGGATCACCTGCAGCTCCTGGGAAGCAGTTCACCTCAAGCATCTGCTCCTGCTAGTCCAGGCACCACATGGCTGCAGGAGGGTGTATGGCCTAAGTGCAGGGCCAGCTCTGAGGTATGTGCGCTGAGGTTCCCAAGACACCCTGAGATCATTTACCCCACCCCAGTGGGGGCCCTCCTCCTCCTTGGCTCACTCTGGGAGGGATCCGAACCACAAGCACTCTGTTGGATTAAAATTAACCCATCTTAATGTGACAATTCAAGATGCATAGCTTGACATCTGGGCCTCTGCTGACCAGAACCCAGTGCTGCTCAAACATCTGGACACCAAAGATGATGTTTAGGATTACTCCCCTTCCCTGGGAAGGCACTGAAAATGCTATACCTGCAGGGCCAGCTGAGCAAGCTTGAGTACAATTTTGTGACATTTTTATGCTAAGTCATCAAACACTGATAATCCACAGGCAAGGCAAACTCCAGTTTGGTATGTTGCACTTGGTCCTCTCACCCGACTGAGAGTGAGGCGCTGGCTGCACTTCCCACATTCCCAGGCCCAAGCTGGTCTGGTTTGCCTACAGTGCAGAATATCATAAAACTGCAAGCGCTCTGGAAGAGATGCAGCTAGGCCTCTCTTCTTAAGAGACGCACCAACAGGAGGCCTATGGCTGCCTCCCTCCACCACCCCCTCTTCCTCCAGGCCTGTGTATAAAATCTGGAAGCAAAAGTAAAAAGCAGCAATTTATGGTCAATGAGGACTTTTGATGTTAGTCCACATTTATCACACTGTGGGCACAAATCTGGCTAATCACCATAAATGGTACCAAAGTTTAAGGAAACATTTGAACAATTCCACTCTGGCTATTCCAGCAGCTAATTAGCACCAGAAAGCTTACATGAACAGTGCTCTTCAAATGATTCAAAACGTGTCTCCAATTTGTAGCAGTTCTGAGGAAAAGAGGGTAGGGTGCTGTTTTCTCCTGCTTGGTCTCCACACTGTGCAAACGCCAAGAGAGGAGATAAGGAAGGATAAAGACTTAGTGTAACAAGTAATACAGACCAGAATAGAGGAAGAGTGGGCCCCAGAAAGCCTGAGCTTGGGGGGGGGGATCTGCAGTCATATGCCAGCAGGATGGGGCTCACAGCCACCAGAGTGACCAGCCATAGGGGCGCTGCTGAGGCGTCCAGAGGGAGGATGCAGAAGGGAACCCTGGGTGGGAACCCGAGGTCTAAAAGAGGCGGAGCAAAAGCAGAACTTTCAGCACGATTGCAAGAAAAAAGAGGTGGGCCAACATTCCAGGATACTGAAAGGCTGCCAACAATTAAAGTCAGAACTATAACTGTATAGCCAAGGCCACAGCTTGGCCGGGTGGTGACTAATGGAGTCAGGACAATATAAATACTGCATATTGCTTCAGTGACAAATAAAAAAAGCATTTTTCTGGTTTGTCTTGATGTCCCCCCAAAGCTTCACACGGTCATGGGGCCAGCTTCTACAGTTTCTGATGGACTCATGGTCCAGTGCTTGGATTATGAGCGTGAGTGCTACACCTGCCCTGGGGCAGGCGGCCTGCATACAATGAAAGGGAGGGAAACAGGCTTGCTCTGGCCACTTCTCCCTGCTGCTCTTGCTGTTTTTGCTGTCCTCCAGCACCACGAACTACTGCCCTCTGCCACGAACCACTCTGCCTTGAAGCCAGCTGAGTATGGTCTGAAACCTCCACAACCTGTGAGCTAACAGTCTTTCCCTCTTTAATTTGGGCATTGGGTATTTTGTCTCAGCAATGAGAGAAAAGTAACCAATACAAGCATAACACCAGGAAGATAGAAGGTGGCAGGAATAAACAGTGTTCAGCTGTCATCTAAAGTGGCATGAAAAAGAACATCAAGGTTTAATAAAGAAATAGTAAACATTTGTTATCTAGACACAGAGAAGAAAGTATCCAAAGAAATAGCTTGAAACCCGTTAAAGATGGCTGCCTGTAGGAAAGAGAAAAGAGGAACTAGTGGACACAACCTTTCCTTATAAACCTTCAAGTAATGTAGACCTTTAATTATATGCATCATTACCTAAGGAGAAAATGCATATGGTGTGTACAGTTAATGGATTCAATACACAGAAAACAAAAAGAATGACAGAAAAATCCATTCTTGTGATTCTTCTGATATTCAGAGCAAAACATGCTAAATGAAGAGCAGAGGATTGACAGCTCAACACAGGAAATCCAGAAGAAGGAACTGAAGCTGACAGAGGAAGAGCAGCAAGCACAGGTATTGCTACAGGCCATTCAATGGGCCAAGAAGAGCCTCAGCTATGCACTGAACCCAAATGAAGGGGATTTCAGAAAAGATCGGCACCGAGGCCCTGCCTTTGCCTTCCGCACCACTTCTCTTCCAATGCCAACATGCAGCCAGGTGACACAGTAACGGTGACCAACTACGTATTGCACTGATGAGAGAACTGCACGATGACAGACAGGTGGGCGGACAAGGACACAAGCAAATGAATGTCCGCTGCACTGGCTTTCACAATAGGAAAAAAATGTGTGGCCATCTAAATGCCCATGAAAAGAAAATTCTTCAAATACATTGTGAGATCCTGTACAGATCAATGTGCTGTGTGAGGTGCTTCTACGGAGAATAAATGATTCCAGTAATTAAAACTAGAATGTGCATGCCTTCATCATGAAAAGAAAGAGCAGTGTCAGGTGTGATAGAGCATGCCTGTAGTTTCAGCAGGCAGGAGGCTGAGGCAGGAGATCACTTTGAGTTCAAGGCCAGCTTGCTCTTCATAGTGAGGCTCTATCTTAACAAAAAAAAAGCCACGGGCAGTGTTTGGGGAACCACATGACACCAGCCCCGAGTGGCTGCTTGGCAGTGGAAGGTGTGAAAAGCTGACAGCACTCATAACGGGCCAGGCCTGACAAAAAGGACACAGTGCAGATGCAGATTAGCACAAGGAGGAGGGGGCACTGAGGCAGATTCCTGTCCCCAAGAAGAGGCAGAGACAAAAAAGTGAGGAAGTCAGGAATAACATCCACTTCTCCAAGACTTAAGTCTCAGTGGTCAGAGAAACAGCTGTCCCTTTGGAGCCCAAGTTCCTGACCAGTCATCCTGCAGAACTCCCCCCTCAGCAGCATTCCAGGATTTTTGGCCTCGTCATGTCCATAGCAAGGCACCTAAATTTTGATGACATTTACACTGATGAGTAACTAACTGGCTGAATTATGTTACAGCTTGATAAAAAGAATCCCTTCACTAGCAGCCTCCATCTTTGCTAAATTTATGGTGTTGAATCACTTGTCGAGTCCAGTTCTGTGGTGAGAATTAATGTCACTACAGAGCTCAGAGGCCAACAAATAAATCGCAGGATTTTCAATTATTAAATCTAGATCAGGAACGTTGCTAGACAAATAGGTGAAGAACGAGCTTGACAAAGCATGAAGAGAAAATGCCTCTGCTGTCACTAGGAAGGTCAGATTGTCAAAATGAATGTTTAAATTTCAGGTTCAATCAATTATGCACAAAATATCTATGCCAGCAGCCCCCCTACTCTGTACCCAAACATTCAGATACATCCCTGAACCTGGAAGAATCTCAAACAAGTGACCTGGGGACAATCCAATATCCTGGCACAACAAAACAGTGCAGATAAGAGGGGCCACACACCAAGATGCCAGCTGTCTAGAGCAGCCCACAGTGCCCCTGGCCCGCGATGAGGGTAGTTCCCAGTGCTGCTCAGTATCTGTTCTAACCACCCTGAAGGTAACCAAGCAGCTTTCCCACTGTTGGACACAATACCTGATACCTACCACTTACAGGGAGAAAAGCTTAACTTGGTTCACAGTTTCAGAGGCTTCAGTCCATGGTAAGCTATCTTGGTGGAAGGGTATGGAGGAGTGAAGCTGCCTAGTTCATGGTATCCAGGGAAAAGAGCACAGGAGAGGAGCACCAGCAAGTGACGCCTCCTCCAAAGGTGGGTTTCCAGAGCCCACATCCTCACAGCACATCGCTGTGAGCATCAGTAGGTTAATGATGCAATCACCCCTCTCAGAGGCCCTTGAGCCAGTGCGTTGACAACTACAATTAGCCAGTACAAAAGGTCCATCTGAATTCCAGGGATGAAGAACTCTGCCAGACACAGACTGATATGCAAGAAAGCGTAAGTGCTGCCAATCTCTTGAAGGTTTCAGAGGTGCCTCAGAAAGTAGCAAGAGCCATGGGTTAGGTGTATGGAAGCAAAGGGATTTGCAGCAATGTCTTACACTGTAACACATTTTAAAAATTGAAACACACACCATATTTTTCAATCACATTTCACAGCTTCATAGCTGCAGTGGTGTCTCTGTTCATTAA